TGAAGACTGGAGTAATGATGCTGAAAATACAGCTGCGCATCACAGAAATACATTACAGTTTAACAGATATTCACATAGAAAACAGCTGTTTTACATTATAATAATATTTCACAATTTTTACTGTATTTTTGATCAAATTAATGCAGCCTTGGTGAGCAGAAGAGACCTTCCTGTAATTATTCCCCTGTAAAACTCATTTTTTGGTTTCTTTACACCACAAGAGAGAATATTGCACACAAATGCAGTCCTCAGACTATTTCTTTAATATTACTGATGCACTGATTTCTTTGTAGTTTTGCGCAGGGTCCTCTGAAAGACGCTCCTAACCTGATCTGTACGCCGCACACAGCCTGGTACAGCGAGCAGGCGTCTCTGGAGATGAGAGAAGCAGCCGCTACAGAGATACGCAGAGCCATCACAGGTACACACGCTAATGAATCAACCTCCGGTCGTTAACGAGCTGATCTGAGTGATTAAAACAGTCCCTGTGCGTCTCAGGCCGGATTCCTGACAGTCTGAGGAACTGTGTGAATAAGGAGTTCTTCCTCTCATCGGGTTCCTGGGGCCTGATGGAGCAGCAGGTTCATCCTGAGCTCAACGGCGCCGCCTACAGGTACGACTAGAATCATATTTAATATTCATCGAGCTCATCATTCATTATTTGTTTGATTTTCATTCATTGTTTCACCGTGATCCCAACCCCGTAAGCTCCACCCCCACACAGTCACATGACATGAGTTTAACTCTGAGCCCCGCCCACATCTGCTTCTCTCACGCAGCCAAGTCAACCAATCAATGCAGGCCATCATGACTGGCTCCGCCCCCCAAGACAAAATCAATGCCTAAAGCAAGAGCAGGTAAAAGAACGTCAGACGCCTGTCTCTGTCTCTGCTGCTTTGACCTTTGACCTCTGATGGCCACACCCCCCCTCAGCATTTAGTTTAATAGATTAGTCAATAAACTGTTTCTCTAAACCTTCTTTTATAGAGATTTACATCTTTACTCTGGCTTTAGAGCCAGAAACATACACAAATCGCTATAAACGAGCATCCTTTTTTGTTGTTATTATCATTAAAAATAATTTTTGTTATTTTAAATAAAGTCGAAATAAAATAAAATATAAATATTAGATGAAAAAAACTTAGAAAAGTTGCCTTGTCAACTAACTAAAATAAAATACGTTTGTTGAAGTACTAAAATTATTAAAATAAAAATAAAACAAAGCTAAATAGAAATATATATATATATATAAAAAACTAATAAATACACCCAAATATTGACACTGATAAATGTTAATGAATTAGCAATACACAATGCCAAGTTAAAATATTATTTAAATATTACTATTATTTCATCTTATCTTACATTTAGAGACCAGTGCTATTTTAGTATAATTTATATACTATTATAGTTTTTTGTAATATTTTGAATTATTTGCATTATTTTACTTTTATATTTTGTTCTGATTTAAATTTAAATTTGATGTTTTCTTATGTACTTTTGTCTTTTTTATTAGACTTTTTTAATTCTATTTTAAATATTTAGCAATATTAGTACTTCAACTTATTTTATTTCAGTTAGTTGCCAATGCAACATTTATAATTTTCATTTAAGTTTTTACATTTGGTTTTCATCTAATATTTAGTTTCGTTTAGTTTCGTTTAGTTTAGAGTTTCCAAGGCAGCATTTCTAATTTTTGTTCGTATTTTTAAGCTTAAGTTGTTCATCTAATCTTTTTTCTTTTTCTTTTCTTTTCTTCTTTTCGTTTCTTTAGTTGCCAAGGCTACATTTCTAATTTTCATTTAAGTTTTTAAGTTTAAGTTTTTCATCTAATATTTTATTTTATTTTATTTATATTATTTTTTGTATTTATTTATATATTTTTATTTTTATTTCAGTTAGTTGCCAAGACAACATTTCTAATTTTTAAGTTTAAGTTTTTCATCTATTTTATTTTATTTGATTTTATTTCAGTTAGTTGCCAAGACAACATTTCTAATTTTCATTCATATTTTTAAGTTTGTTTTTCATCTAATATTTTTTATTTTATTTTATTTATATTATTTGTTGTATTTATTTATTTATTTTCAGTTAGTTGCCAAGACAACATTTCTAATTTTCATGTACATTTTTACATTTAAGTTTTTCATCTAATATTTAATTTAATTTAATTTAAATTTTATTTCAGTTAGTTGCCAAGACAAAATTTCTCATTTTTATTTACATTTTTAAGTTTAAGTTTTTCATCAATTTTATTTTATTTTATTTTACAAGGCCACATGTCTAATTTTCATGTAGTTTTAAGTTTTTCATCTGATATTTTTTTATCTTTTATTTTTTCTATTTTATTTATTTTAAGTTAGTTCAGTTTATTTTAGCTTTAGTTCATTTAATGAAAACAAGTTTTTAATAGCGTTCAGTTGTTTTTAATAGTTGTAACACTGCCATTTTTCCCACCCCTTTATTTCATGCTCATCACATTCTAGTGCGTGTCACATGTCTGCGTCGTGACCTTTGCCCTCTCCCGCAGGCTCCCATCAGGTCTGGCCGCAGTGGCAGCGGGTTTGGAGGGTCTGGTGCCGGTGACCCACTCACTGCCCGCCGGAAACCACCCAAACACCGTCCCAAACCAGCCCTCGAAACACGGAGAGAGCAGAGAACAGCTGAGCGAGCAATAGCATCTTCATCATCATCATCATCTTTCATTCTTTTCCTTTTTCCCGTTTTGGAGGAAGTGGATGTTTTTGGCGTCTCATCAACACACGGAATGGAGTTTGCTTGTTTGACGTGTTTCTTTTCACAATCATCTCTCTTACGTGTGAATAATTCAATTGAAATAAATCAGGCAATAGGACGAAAGTGACGCCCGAAGCCACGCCCACTCAGCCATCCATCACGATGATTGACAGCTCAGCGCTCTGCTCTGATTGGCCAGGGCTCTCGGACTTCAGCCAAGGAGTGAAACACCAAACGAAATCTTTCTCTCGTGTGTTTTGTTTGTGAATCTGTTCATCAAACTGTGATCTCTACTAACAAACAGTTCTGTTTCTTTCTCGTACCAGCAGCAGTTTCGTCTTTTATATTCGATGCATTCTTGGTTTCAGCTTCACTATAAGACTCAGGAAGATCTCACCTTCACAGTTTTTCTTTTTCTCCACCAACTCTTGTCCAGATTGCTGCATATGAACAGATATTTTCTCTCGTGCGTTCTCATGTTAGTATTTTTATACAGTGACACGTCTCGATGACAAGCAGTGAAGCTCAGTAGGTTTGTGTGGTTTAGATGAATGTCCTGTACTCATAGTCTCGTGTGAGCCTCCCGCGTTTGCTTGGTTCTGCTGAAGGCGTTGTCTGTCAGAAAGCCAGACCTGATTCAGAAGCGGGAGGTTGTGTGTTTTATTGTGATTATTTGTATGTGTTTCTTGTATACGGTGAACATTTAGCATCAGTGCAGATCGAATAAATCATGCCGGTTCAGAACTGGGTTTCTGTCTGTTTTATGATCACTGAAATATGATTCTGAGCTCAGACATTAATTTCCATCATATCTCTCCGTGCATGCTTCAGTATTGTCAGGTTGTATTAATGTTTCATTTTCAACTTGGGATTATTGGAAGAGATCAATGCTGAAATTTCATACTGACATGTTTATCGATTGTTTCAACAGTTAATCATAATCATAAACGCAAGCAAGGAAGTACAAAATATGGTTGTTGTTAGAGCGTTTATTTAATATTTGATATTATTTAGTATGTGTGTGTTTTTTTTGTCTGATACAATAGTACCCTCTAATGCTGCAAAAAAAATAAAACATATATATGTAGATATTACAGATAGATGGATACAGTATATAAATATATTATTAAATTATATAATTAATATATATATATATATATATATGATTTTTTTGTCTGATACTACATATATAGATATTCCTGAGAAGCAACAGGCAGTGAGA